GGTTGTAGTATTTGAAGATGTGGTCTTTATGTTGCGCAAATGTTTAATGTTCGAATAGGTCGCGAGTGATAAAGTGTGAATAATGTTTGAACATGTGAAATAAATGGACCAGAATAAACTGACAGAATGTACCAAGAAGCTGAGCGGCGTTTGTGTTGTCAACTCTAGACGTTAAAGTAGTGCAAGTTGTGTAGCAGTAACATCCAGAGAGTGAGCAGTGGCTAAAGCCAATAAGTAGTAAGCCAAAGCGCAGTCCAAGTCAAGCCAAGGTTTATTACATCTAGCCTGTATTGTGATTGTTGATGTTACTATTATTATTCTTATTATACAGAACTGCTTCAGTTTAAATGTCTACACAGTTTTGGTTGGCTTTCTTCTGTTATTCAAAAGAATTATATAAATTTACATGCAATTCCGTCTCAGGTCAGTGTTAGAATCTAGAAATATCTCAAAAGGTGAGCGCATTTATTTCAGTGACATCAGTCATTATGTACATTTATTTTAACTTCAAAAACATGTGTGGACCACTCCTTAAATCCCACAATGATAAATGTATACACATTATCTGTTGGCTTTCACATATTGTCTAGCCTGTTACTATTATTATTCTTATTATACAGAACTGGTAATCTGGTAATCCTAGTTTCTTTTCATATCGTTTACCGACTTTTCTTACTATTTGCTATGCAGTTTCTATGCATTTCCTCTTGAGTCAAAATAGATTGTTATGTTATCTCATGCTCATATTTTCATTTATTTCAAAGATACTTCAAGTCACATTTCATTCAGTGCGTGAGGACGAACAAGCTATTGATGATCAACGCTCACTAAATTCACATGCTGTTCACTATTTTGTCCAAATTTGCAGTTATACCTCCCAAACGACAAGCAATTGGCCCATCTACACCTAAAACACGCAAGAGATGGGCATTAATTGCTTCAGAAACAGACAAGCAACATGAGGTAAGACTGGATACCATTTGAGTGTGCACTGCTGAAGCCCGCTCGTCTCAATCAGACCAGCAACGGAAAGCAAGACTAGAAAATGTTCGAGTGCGCACTGCTGAAGCCAGATCCTCTCAGTCAGACGAGGAGTACGCACTGCTCAAGTCCGTTTATCAGAAACAGTCGAGCAACAGAAAGCAAGACTCAAAACTGTTCGAATGCGCACTACTTTATCCACAGCATGTTGATTTGAATCTTGGTGCATTCCATTACACCAGCAATTATGATTACAATCTTCATCCACAGGTGCTTATTGGCAAAATGGATAGATTGTGCGTACATTGCAGTGCCTTCAAATTTAAGAATGAAACACCGGGAATGTGCTGCGCCGGTGGAAAAGTTAAACTGCCAGTATTACATTCACCACCCGAACCATTATCATCATTGGTAGCAGGTGACACAGGCCAGTCGAAACATATCTTGGCAAACATTCGTAAATACAATTCATGTTTCCAGATTACATCATTCGGTGCAACAAATATTGTGCTCGAGAATTACATGCCGACATTCAAAGTGTAAGGCCAGATTTATCATCGTGCTGGCTCAGTCCTACCACTGCCAAATGCAGATTACAAATTTCTTCAGATTTATTTCATGGGAAACACTGATCAACAAACTGATCAACGTTGTCGATTCAATAAGGGGACACAACGAGAAATAGCCGCTGCTTTACAAACTTTATTTGACCAACACAACAAATTAATTAGATTGTTCAGAACTGCTCTTCACAACAAATACCAGCTGATGACTACAGAGTTGTACTCAGAGCTGACAAAACACCTGTCGGCCAACACGATAAACAGTACAATGCACCAACAATTGATGAAGTGGTGATTGTTATGGTTGGCAAAGAATTTAACTCGCGTAATATAATTCTTCATCGCAGAAATGGTGATGTTCAGCGAGTCTCAGAAACTCATCGCTCATACAACGGATTGCAATATCCAGTTTTATTTTGGCAAGGAGAAGATGGATATTATTTCAACATCAAATTGAGAAATCCACAAACACATGAGGAGATGAATGAGAAAGTCAGTGCCATGAATTATTATTCATATCGATCGATGGTTCGTGAAAACGCTAACAGTCATATCTTGAAATTTCGACAATTGTTCCACCAATACATTGTCGATATGTATGCAAAATTGAAACTGAGCGACTCCTCTATATTCGATGACATCAAACTAAGTTGCGTACAGAGGAGTACATTCAGTTACGTGATGCAGTTGTTAATGATGGCAATGTTAATCCCAATGAGTTGGGGAAAATGGTCATATTACCAGCCACATTTACAGGGAGTCCACGACACATGCATGGATATGCACAAGATGCAATGACATATGTTCGTGCACATGGCCGTCCAGATTTATTTATCACGTTTACATGCAATCCTACATGGGATGAAATCAAAGAACTTTTGTTACCTGGACAATTATCATCGGATCATCATGATATTACAGCGCGTACAGCGCATGTGTTTAAACAAAAATTGAAATCTTTAATGGATTTCATTGTCAAGCATCATATTTTTGGAGAGACCCCGCTGTTGGATGTATTCCATCAAATGGCAAAAAAGAGGATTGCCACAAACACACACATTTTGATTTGGATCATCAACAAAATCACACCAGATCAGATTGATCAGGTCATCTCAGTAGAAATACCAAATGTCGACATTGATCCAGACTTATTTGAAGTCGTCACCAAAACCATGATTCATGGTCCATGCGGCTTACTAAACAATAATTCATTATGCATATCTGATGGAAAATGTATGAAAGGATACCCAAAAGACTTGCATGCCGAAACTATCACTGGCAATGACGGATATCCTCTCTATAGTCGATGATCAGTTGAAGATGCCGGCAAATCCATCATTTTAAAAGTGCGAAACAATGATGTTGAAGTTGATAATCGTTGGGTTGTACCGTATTCACCGTTACTCTCGACGTACAAAGCACACATCAATGTTGAGTATTGCAATTCGGTGCATCCATGCTTTTCACATGTGGCCTATATGTGGCCTGTTCACGCATCGGAAAACTTTCTATTTATTTGTGTACGCACCAGACGGAAAAACAAAGAACATTGTATACCCGAAAGCACTTCAGTAACAAACTTACAATGACATTTTAAATTACCTGTTTTTTCCTAAAGAAATGAAATCGGCACAATGATCCAATATAATTACATTTTGTTAAAGCGACTATCCTTTCAGTTGAATTTCTATTGTAGCACATTTTGTAATTATGGTGTATTTTTCCTGTTTTCGTTGCTTTTCACTAGGGTAATTTTTCTAACTACTTCGGTGAGGGAAAAAGTAGTGGGTGACCTGGGGGATGGGGGGGGGGTAAAATAAACTGTTTACTGAGATAGATTTAAGTCACAGTAACTGCCTTACCCACTCAAAGTATTAGTAGTTGTGGTTGGGTGGTTGCACTGTACATCGCTGGCGTGAAGCGAAGCAAGATTTATATGTTCTTTATTTTCCATTTAGCCAAACTATGCCACAGCAACGCGTATCCGGGTACAGCTAGTTGCATAAAAAAATACAAGCCGCATTCATCAATAAAAGTATTTAAAAAACTTCTGCAGCTTAAAAAATAGTGCGAAAAAGTTTTAGAGGTGTTAAAAACCAAATATTTACCTCATGGGGATTCTTGTAATTCAGCAACAGTCCAAGACACTAAGTGTGAGAACCAAGTACAAGACATTAAATGGTGTATATCTGGTTTATAACATATGAGTTATGTCTAGTATTGAAGCAATTTACATCTGGGGCTTTTATTTTAAATAAATAATAAATAAACTCAAAAACTGAAACAAACAAAAAATATCCACTGTAAAATATTGCAAAACAGTTACAATTGTAAAATGTTTTTTTTTTAAAATATCATTTTATTGCAAGGATCTTTCTGATAAGCACAATTGGTTTCTATCTTGCTCTGTATAGTATGATTATGCTCTCTTCTTAAAAAAAGTTAACTTTCTCAGATCTTTACCATAACATTCACTCTTGGCATGGGGGAGGGGCATCATATGGTTCTCTCAGTTTAGAAAGTTCCACATAGGCCAATTCTAAGCATTCTTTTGTGGGAACTGGATATTTTTATCCACCTTGACCTACATATGTTAAATTTGCTGAATCCAAAAGTACTTTTATCTAGACATATGTAACGCCATCTGAATTGTCCAAGTAGGAATAAATATGAGTTCAGCTGAGTAAGCCATGAGTTGTATCATTTGTTTATGTATTGGTGTGAGTGTGTGCATGTTTATCATTAAAAAATTAATATTTTTTGAAACACAGAGTATGCTAACATTATAATTCACTATGACTGATAAGACAATATGCAAATTCCATGAATGGACAAAAAAAATGAACAACACAGTGGTTCAAGAAACAGATGAAAATCATAAACTGACCAGCTAAATTAGATGTAAACAGTCAAGTTAAAAATGTGCTGCTACTGGAAAATTTGACTGAAACAGAGGAAGGGAGGAATAAAGAGATGAACATGTGATGGAAACCAAGGAAAGGAACAACAAAGAGATGAACATGTAAAAGAAACCAAAGAAAGGAACAACAAAGAGATGAGCATGTAATGGAAACCAAGGAAAGGAACAACAAAGAGATGAACATGTAAAAGAAACCAAAGAAAGGAACAACAAAGAGATGAGCATGTAATGGAAACCAAGGAAAGGAACAACAAAGAGATGAACATGTAATGGAAACCAAGGAAAGGAACAACAAAGAGATGAACATGTAATGGAAACCAAGGAAAGGAACAGGAACAACAAAGAGATGAACACAGAGTTTAAAGTTGAGGTTAAAATCAAAATTATGGTTCACTTTTCCATTCCATATTTGCACAAATTAAATTGATGAGGCTTTTTTTAAACAGCTGCAGATAATATTTACCAATCACAACATAAAATGTACTCCCAAAAATGAGTCTATAAAATATGGGCTTTCAAGCTTAAGAAGCTCTTGCATCACCTGAGATTCAGTTGCTTTAACTCTTTCAATAAGATCAGCCATCAGTTTCATGGAGTGCTCACTTTCTGCTGTGTATTTGAGAGCAGACTTCAGATCTCCTTCAGCCTCTGCCTTGTCTTTCATAGCGTCATCATAGGCCTTTTTTTTCATATTAATGAAATATAAATATATGTAAAAGAATAATAAACAATAGATAATTACTTGTTACACTTATTTTATGGGAAGCCAAGGCTAGATGTTTACTTGCTTGCCCGAAGGTCTTTAAACTCTGAGTGCTTTTTCTTCTTCAGAAGTGCCCTCAGCTCCCAGGTTAGTTGCGTATCCTTTACAGGACGTTGCAGAACCAACCCCAACAGCCCCTGCCTGGCTGTTGTGCGGTTTTTCTAGGCAAATTTACATCCAGTAGTTTGCCATTGCTTCTGGACGGTCGGCTACCAGAAAGCTACCATTATCAAAACTAATGCAAGGCGCATGGCCCGCAGCTGGGATCGAACTCGGCATCCCGGCATTATGAAGTGTTCACATCGGCTTAGCCACAGAGCCGACTCAGCTCCCAGGTGTTAAAAAAAAAGGGGGGGGGGAGGGAGGTCAAGGCTCTTTTTTTTAAAGAAGTCAGGCATATTGGACATATAGGACTAGACCTATATTTTATAGACCACTTGGCACATTGGTGATGCGATCAGCATCATGGAAGCACCTTTACTTCCTAGGACTTCACCTGGTCCCCATTTAAGGCTGGGAGCCAAGATCATTTTTGAAAAAAAAAAAGTCCAGCACCCTCATGATTTGAACCCATGACCTTTGGATCCACAACAAGCGTCTAGCTGCTATACCGCAGTGACTCTCTGGTGAACCCAGCCTAAAATATAATGTCCTCAGAAGTAAAGATGGCTGTCGTAGCAGTGATCACATCCAGCGAGTGCTCAATGGTCTAGACATAGATGAATTTAGCATCATATGCACAATGCGCATGATGTAAAGAGGGTTCTTTACTTTTTGTTTTGTTTTACATCTGGATATTGTGTATCTTGTGCTGCACATGAGTTTGGTGTTTTCTATGTGATCCTAATATGCACCGACCCTCAACCCAAAACCAGGCAATAAAACCTATTTTAAGATACTGTTTTTTTTTTCTATAATCCTACATTAGGGTGACTAGAATGCTGTATTTTCATCTTCCCTGTTATTCTTTTTCTTCTCCTTTGTTCATCAGAAATAAGCTCCGGTGGAAAGTCCTGGTTGTTCATTAGGGTGACTAGAATGCTGTATTTTCATCTTCCCTGTTATTCTTTTTCTTCTCCTTTGTTCACCAGCTGTAAGCTCCGGAGGAAAGTCCTGGTTGTTTATCCATTCGGACATTGACTTTATGCCAAGGCCTGAGTTTTGCGTATCCAGCTGTTTCTACTGGCTTATTTGTGTGCAGTTAGTTGTTCCTTGCTGCTCAGGCAGATGCTCTCCAACTTTGAATGAAGTCCCTAATTAGTCGACTCCTACGACATGCTTGTTGGTGAGGCAGTGGGTCTATTCTTGTTTCCCTACAAGGAGGCCCCCAGAACCCACATGGGGACCCTGTTTTTCAGGATAGCAAGTGCCCTAGACAAGGACGACCTGCCCTTCCTGGTCAGCCCTATGTCAAATGGGTACCAAGAAATATTTCTGGAAGCAAAGCTGGCCAGCATAATTTTTCTACTTAAACATATGAGTGCCGATCAATACATGTCTATTTGTTTATTATATATATCATATTTGTCAGCATTACCCATCATGCTGGCTGGTTCATAATAATACAATAAAAACTGTGCCACATCCACAATTGAGGTTAGTTGCAGTCCACTGCTAACTATGGGGAAATTACTTGACGAGGCTCCGATCTCTCCATGGTATGACCCCCTTTTTTCACTGCCTGAATAACATGAGAGTGGTCTTTTTTCCAAATGCTCACCGTCGGAATGAGCCCTGGTAAACATCGAGGAGTGATTTTAAAACCATTTCATTAATCTCAAAGCCAGACAGCTACATGGTCTATAATAATTATGTAATTATCGAAGAGACTGCACAGGAGAGAATGCAACAGAGGAATAGATGCAAGTTCTAGGGGATATATAATGGCACAAGAGGATGATGATTCAAGTAGATGAATGTGTACATGAGCAAATATGCATACAAAGGTGTGAATTTTTTTTTAATGAAAATTTTAAAATACAATATACAAACCACACAATCAAAATGCCAAATAGCATAACCTACTTTATCTCTGAAACACAGCGAGGCTGGCAGCTGGCTAGGATGCAGGAGATGGCCATGCAGAAACTCCAGCTCCGTGACACTCCTGTCCCGGTAATCTGCCAGCCAAGGATAGCGCCCGACAGCATTGTCAAAATTTCGTTGGAGCAGATCATCAGATTCCCCATGCCAACCATAACGCTGAGGAAGTTACAACCCTCAATCTTTCACACAGGTCAAATTCTGTTCTCATGACAATGTTATAATAGGTTACTGTCACTTTAAAAACATATAAATAAGGTGGCTGACTGACTAACTTTCTACCCCACTAGGACATCACACAAGCGATAAACACCCGATGACACAAAGTGACACCATGTGGATGAGGATCGCCGTGGAGAGGTCCCAGAAACCGCGTTCAGACAATTGGTCATATTTATGGCCTGCCTATATTGCGGCCCCTGGCAAAAGCCAGGGTGGGGCTTCAAATAATAAAAAATGTCATCCTAAAAAGGATGAAACTGGATTGCAATGCTGCGCATAAATAAGGTGGAGAAAAAGCAATAAAATGAACTGATAAAGTAAAAACAGTAATTACATGACCCATTTCCTGAATAAAATCTGGGATATATATATATATTTTATGTCCAACGTAAAGTTACAAATAAAAATGCCAAGTGGCAGCTGTATATTCTCTCTCTCTCTCTCTCTCTGTGTGTGCGTGAGTGCATGCATGCGTGCATGTGTGTTATTGTGATGAGAGCAACATTCTGTAGTGGCCCTACTAAAAAGTGACTATAGTGTATGTGTGTGTGCGTACTCATGCATGTGTGTGTGTGTATGTGTGTGTGTCTGTCTGTGTCTTTGGGTACAGAAATCCAAGAGCAAGCAAAAACTTCATTTTATGGAATGAATAACATCATCTTCTCAAAGGACGTTAGAAATAGATGTCCAACATGTTATATAGAACTAGGTCACAGGTCGTGGCCTGGAGGGGTGTCAGCACATGAACTGATATGTGCTGTTAGAGGTCACAGGTCGTGGCCTGGAGGGGAGTCAGCACATGAACTGATATGTGCTGTTAGAGGTCACAGGTCGTGGCCTGGAGGGGAGTCAGCACATGAACTGATATGTGCTGTTAGAGGTCACAGGTTGTGGAGAGGCATGACCAGCCACATTAGTTAGCAAGGAAATTAATGATGACAAAGAAATGTATACATATGTTGTGTGTATTTTTTGTGTTGGGGTTATATTTAACATATATATTTTACAAAACTGAGCACTTTAGGAGGATTTACAGGAATAGATTACAAGTCATATCTGATTTCATAGCACTCAGGACATTCCCTTAAATGCTCTGTTCCCATCTTCAGCAGCAAGTGCAGAATTCCAGTTCTGATGGCACCAGTAACAGTCTGATTGATGTCTGCTTCACCCCACCCCTGAGTGCTGAGCACCAGCAAAGATCCCCTGGTCACTCCTGGCTACACCATTCTCTTCAGACTGATGATGTGCCTCTGCATTGTTTACTCGCTCCAAAAGGGCTCTTACATCATCTAGCTTCTCGTTCATCAATTTATCAACAAGTGGCATAGAACCAGTCACTCTATCTTTCTGTTCATTTCCCAACAGACTGGTATGTCCTTTACAAAATATCCAAAGGACGCTAACTACATAAGACCTCTAAATTAATTGCTTGCCATTTTTCACGGAGCATATCCGTCTCCACCTTTTTCAACAGAGAGAAATACGCCTACTTCTCCAAAAGTTACCTGTCCAAAGAACCCAATGAAGACATCAGACCTGTCAATTTCTCGGAGACAAATGTTGATTACTTGGGCATTTGCTGCGGCCTCTGAAGTGATGCCCCATCGCATATCTACGGGGACAAACTGAATTCCACAGGCATTGCATGCATGATGGAGACGGGGGAAATACTTCCTGGTCAGTTCTTCACGCTCATTTTCCATTCCCCCAAATGGAGAGGAGAAAAATACTCTCAGTGTTTTAGGGTCTTTAAGTTTCATGTCTAGACAGCTGTCTTATATGATCCCGTTTGTGTTTTAACCAAGTACACATGCATACAGTTCTCTGCAAAATTTATTGATCGCGATTTTGTTTTCATTGACAACGAATTATCTCCCTGTATGAAAGTTAAAAGTAGGAAGCAAGTTTGAAAACGCATTTTACAATTTCAAGAAACAATACTGTGTATATTCGACCAGTTTATATATGTCGACGATATCAACGAGACAGTACACTTATAACTATCAGGCAAATTGTGGGAACGACACCTTGTACTAGATTCATCGAGAAACAGCAGATCAAGTGGTTTGGCCATCTCGTTAGAATCCAGAAAGATCAAATACCATCACAAGCACTACATCTCAGAAGACCAACTACAAGAGCAAAAGGACGGCCGCGGAAAATATGGATTGACAACATTAAAGACACTCTAAGCCTTTACGGCATGACAATAGCCAGTGGCAGCCAACGTGCACTGGAATGCAAATTATTCCTCCCCACGACACGCTTAACGACAGAAGTGGTTTATGATGATGATGATGATAATAATAATGAGTACACTTATATACCAACTAGGGCTGTACCGAATATTCGCTTCGTATTCGCTTCGGGGCCGAATAGTTGACCTAATAACTATTCGGTATTCGGCCGAATACTTGCGCTCGGGCCGAATACGAATAGTGGCCACCTTACACCCGTTTTTGCATACACTGCGATGGACTGAAATAACTCTCTCATTAACACAAAAGATGCTGTTGCCTAAGTCTGTCGTAGCTGGGAAAACTGCCACCTGACTGCATAGTACAGAAGCTGGCAAGGTCTTGCCTGCTGACTCAACAGAGGCATTACAGCAGAGGTTCTCAAATTGGGTGCGTATGCCAGAGGTGCCTCGGCGAAAATCAAGAAAAGTCGGCTATAAATTGTGACATTATTAAAGAAGGCATGAAGATACTTAAAAGTTAAAATTTAAATTGTCTTTCCCAGCCACTGTCGAAAAGATTTTTGCTTTCCTTGTTTCACACTCAAAGTGTATCATACTGCATGAAATGCCAACCGCAGCGTGCTAAAAATTGTCTTTGCATTTATTTATTATCATTGCATACTGAACTCTACTACGCCCATTCGTTCATTCATTGTCTTGTTGTGTCACATTATAAGCTGCATAGGGCTCGCAGTCTAAGAGTCGACTGACTGGGAGCTTCCTTTAAAGACGAGGTGGGTCTGCTTGAGACGCAAGAAGTTAGTTAGTTAGTTAGTTAGTTAGTTAGTTAGTTAGTTAGTTAGTTAGTTAGTTAGTTAGTAGGGTTATCATCATTGCACTCCGGACACGTCCATAGGTGCTCAGATCCTCCCCTCAGTATGAACCCCAACGTCCGATGGCTAATAGTACCAGTTCTATGTTGATTAACAAGTCTTCTGGCGTGTCCGGTGTGCGCCTCGTTTTTTGCTGTGCCGATCTTAATTCCCAAGTCTGCCATTCTGACGAGTGATGTGGATTCACTGCCACCAAAGTCCTCTATCCTTCCCATTTCTCTGAGGGCATTGATAATATCAGCATGATCCATAGGCCGACCGTCGGTAGTGATAGCGGATTCAGCCAACCTGTCAGCTCTTTCATTTCCATCGACGCCTGCGTGTCCCGGAACAAAAATAAAGGTGACTTCACGCACAGTGGACTTCTGAATTGATTCAAGCCATTGTCTTTGCACTGAACCTGCCTGAACCCTCCGGATCATACTCATGGAATCACTGAGTATACATATGCGGGTGTATTTTTGTGTTTCAAGCCAGGCAAACGCTTGCGTCACTGCCATCACCTCCATCGTCGTGCTGCTGGTTGTCATGGAGAAGGCGCCGTTGACTTCTTTGACTGTTCTGCCCTCTGAGCGTGCTGTAAATGCCCATGCGCTTCTTCTTTGGCGTATAACGGATCCGTCTGTATAGATTAGTGCATCTGCTTCGTCTGAATTTTCACCGATGAGAGCGTTGACCTCTGCATTAACAGCAACAGGGTTCTCTTCTCTACATCGCCTGTTGAGTGTGACAATACAGGAAAATGTACAAATAAACGCCTGAGGCACAGGTATCCATTCTGCACCAGGTATGATGTCGGTTAGGCTGCATATTTGCAAGAAATTAACAGTCTGTATACAAATGAGTCAGATATGTCAAAGGATAAACACGCAACACTCAAGTTCTGAAACAGGACTGCAGACCAGAAGTGGACGAACAAAAAGAACTTTCCACCAGAGTTTGGTGAACGCGAAGAAGAAGAAAAAGAAGAAGAAGAATGTCATGGATGGAATCCAGTCCAGCATATTTGGCCTCTGTCATCGGAGTTCTTTTTTATGGTTTCTTTTGGGCGTTCTCGCTTCCTCGGTCCTTTCCCCCCCCCCCCCCCCCAAAAAAAAATGTTAGAGTCTTTTTGGTGATTTTTTGCCCCTTCTTCTCACGATGTGTCCAGTTAACCTTTTTTCCCTCTCTTTTATAACTTTTGTTACTACTGGCTGCTCAGGCATTTCTATTATTTCTTCCCCCTATCACCAGCTTGTGCTGCAGAATCAGAAGTTCAACAAATCGTGCCGTGTACTGGTTGGTATGAACGGCCAGCGAGATTGCGTAAATTTTAGCTTTGCCGGACGTCAAGTGGGACATGAATTTACTTCAGCTGTGAGCGTTGATAAGAAAAAAAAAAAAAAAAGCAAGCAGTGTCGAAGAGAACACAACGTGACTTCCTGTAACACAGACTGTCGCGTCTCAGGGGTCACGAATCATGAATGAACGGCCGGTCATGGTGTGTTTGGGAAGAAATATGTTCAAAGGACCTAAATGCCAACACTGCATAGACTGTTTACTCACTAAATTATTGTTATGCTGATTAATGTTTGTATTAGTTTGTGATTGACATTTAGCGATTTACAAAGCTTGACATGAGCTGTGTTTAAAATACAAGCTTGATGTATTTCATTTTGTACTGAGCGATGCTTGGATTTGTTTGAAATGTATTCATGTCCTCGGTAAATTGTGAACTTGGCTCAGATTTTCACTTCACTATGCTGAACTAATGCTGAACGATACGTAAACGTGGTATGCTTGGTTTAAAGTTGACGTTATGCAAATTGTGAACTTTGCTTCAGTTGTGAGTTCATGTTAATCTTGTGTATAGTGATTGAAGCACTCGTTTGTTTTGTATAGGAAGCCTCGCAAAGTGAGACATGAACTTTGTTTAGGTTGAGATCGTTATGCTAATTTACTGCTGAGCAGTGTTACATAAGTTTGAAATACGACCATGCACAAAGTTAGAGGTCAACTGAGTTTAGATTGCCAGCTCGTTATGTTAATCTTGTGTTGATCTTACGTGAGCTTGTTGGAAAGTCTCAACTTACATAGACGTGAACACACCTTTCAGGTCAGTCAAACGTACAGAGGCCTGAATACCCCTTTTAGGACAGTCCAACTTACAGAGGCAGGAATACCCTTTTCAGCACAGTCCAACTTACATAGACATGAATACCCCTTTCGGGACAGTCCAACTCACAGAGACTTGAATACCCCTTTCGGGACAGTCCAAATTACAGAAAAATGAATACCCCTTTCCTGACAATCAAATTTACAGAGACTTGAATACCACTTCCAGGACAGTCCAACTTAGACAGAAATATCCCGTTCAGATCAGTTAACCTTAGAGAGACCTGAATACCACTTTCAGAACAGTCTAACATAAGAAACCGGTATACTCCTTTGAGGTCCTTCCAACTTACAGAGACATGAATACCGTTTTCAGGACAGTCCAACTCACAGAGACCTGAGTAAGGACAGTCCAACTCACAGAGACCTGAATACCCCTTTCAGGACAGTCTAACTTCAGGACAGTCCAACTTACAGAGACAGGCATACACCTGTCAGATATATAAATGTGAAGCCAAGAGGCGCCTGGCACAAACTGACTATGCTAGATTGTGAGCTGATTATGCTAACCTTGTTCTGGGCGTTGCGTAAACCGGTTTGAAACACGACGCTGGCCATAATCAATTAAGAACTCTACATTAGCTGTTTATTCGCTAAGTTAATGTTATGCTGAGTGATGTTTGCTTTGTTGTGTGACTGACATTTGGCGATTAGCAAATCTTGACATGAGTTCTGTTTAAAATATAAGCTTGTTTTGTTTCATTTTCTACTAAGCTGAATTTGTTTGAAATGAATTCATGTCCTTAGTAAACTGTGAACTTGTCTTAGACTGTTAACTCATCGTTGTAATCTTGTACTGAGCGAATCGCAAATGTGTAAGTTTGGTTTACAGTTGATGTTGTACAAAGTGTGAACCCAGCTGAAGTTGTGAGGTAATGTTAATTTAGTATTGAGAGATGGGAGCACTTGTTTATTTTACATATGAAGCTGTGTGAAAGTAGACATGAACCATGTTTAGACTGAGATCGTTATGCTAACTGCGTGCTGAGTAATGCTAAATATGTTTGAAATACGACCATACACAAAGTTGAAAACAAATACAAAAAAGTCAAAAAGTCTGCCTAGAGAAGAATACAACGAGACAAAATGTCCCTAATTAAACTTAAAGACTTTCTTTACTACTATTGTAGTAGATATAGTAGTGAAGGAAAGGGCCTTGGTATTTAGATCCGCGTATGTGTTGAAACCATGCCGGTTATCCCCCTCCCCTTTTTCCCTCTCCCTATGTTGTAGTCTGCAGTTCTGTGCGGACAAGGACACTGCATTTTATTATTTTCTTTTCGTTTGACCCCTCCTGGATTTCAGTCTGAAGGATCAGCATATCAAGAATAATAATCAAGCAGGTACAAATCTTTGAAATCCCATTCAACGGTTACAGCCAGCCCTATTAACAGTTAAACTGGGGTACTGATATGGTCTGTGGCTTATGCGTTGCGAACGTGCTTTTTCTTCTTCTTCTGCGTTCAACATCAGTCAT